ACTAAACCGAAAAGACTTGCCTCAAGAATTAATAAAAAAGAGAATCGCTAGACGAGACACACACTCGATGAGAGACATACACTGACTGACTGACTGCGGACCAGCAGAGTTTATTAGCTTTCGGCTTGTGTTCGAGAACATTCTGGCCTAAACCGGTAAGAATTCGTTCCAGAAGGTTTTCCAACCATCCATGGTATATCGCCAATTTTGTTGCCAAATGGGCGATTTCTCGCCAAATGTGGCAACCCTGCTTTCCTTGCCATTTTATGGCAAGCATAAAACTGCTTTGCGGGGAAGCTATCTTACTGTGCCTTGACATTTCGTAACACTGCCCCCTCCCAAGGATTGCACGTCCCAGGCAGTACAACCCTTGGTCAGAAGCCAAATTCGATACAAACAAAACATAATAAAACAAACAAGTAACATAACTAAAGAAACAAAGATTCACACTATTTGCAAGTTAGATACACAAATTAAACAAATCACAATTTTAAAAGAAACAAATATTTACACTATGTTCAAGTTATATACACAAATTAAACACATCACAGTTTTAAATTATACAAATTAAAGTTAAGAATGAATTTCAGTTTCCGTCTTTTCATTAATTTATACCTGGATCAAATACTTTTCACTGCAGTTCTCAGATGCATTTCTGTTTTGCATATCACAGTCTGGAGATTCAGTTCCTTAAGGCTTTTCATCCACAGGAAAATCTAAAACAATTCATACACCACTCTGTAGATCATTCACAGCATGCGTATAGTTCACCTCGGTATCATTAGCAGATGGTACATGCTTATTTACCTCTATTTCCTGAAAACCAGATCGGATGTTTGCACCAGGGTCATGAATAGAATCCGATCCTTTACAAACAGCAAGTATCCTGGTTTAGACTCAAGTCCTTGTCCTCACAATCAGCAGTATGAAGCACACACATAGTTTGCGAAAGTGTCAGTGAATTTTCTTGCCAATACTGGAGCACTCTGGATAATGGAGTTTAAGTTGTACATCAGCTTCTTCCATCTCAGCATCACATGAACATTTTCAGATGGTTCAATACTTTCTAACTGCGACTTCGTAACTTCACTATCAGTTTCGACGAACTTTTTAACAGTCGCATTTTTACTTTCTTCCACTTCAGGCACTTCAGAATCAAATGCTTCTTTCCCGTCTTTTATTTCTTCATGTTTTCGTTCTTTATCTTTAATCCCATTAGTTGTTTCATCTTTCATTTCTTGATCTTCCTCAGACATTTCATTAGCTACTTTCTTCATTTCTTCAACTTTTGATTCTTGAGAAGCCACTTCTCTCATATCCACATCATCTTTTATGGCTCCTGTTTCTTCTGTAAGCTCCATTTTCACCTGTTGGAGTTGCTCTCGTGCCCTTTTCTTGGCCGACATTTATTTCTTCTCACCGGGCTTTCTTCTGTTCCAGTCCGGCTTCCATCTCTTTTAGTGCAGCTTTGATTCATCTCCTGATATCCAGCTTTCATTTAAGCTCTCATCTCTTGATACCCGGCTTTCATCTCAGCCCTTATCTCGGCTAAGAAGTCCATCAAAGTCTTTGTTTCTTTCGTCCATGGCTTTCCTCTGAAGGCGGGTCACTGGCATTCACTCTCAAATCCCACTTCTGACACCAGTTGTTACGTTATTTTTTCCTTCATGTTCATACGGGTTCATGTGGATTTGGAATGAATAACGATGACACTTGATGAAGTATTGAAATACACTTTATTAGCCAGTATTGTCAGCACAGCTCCAATAACACTTTTTACAGTTATCGAAAATCTACTATAAACACGCTGGAACAATCAGTGACACAGCCTTCACACTGTCAGGCAATAACGGTGGAGACAGCTTCACTGCAAAGCTCCTGACTCTGCTCGGTCGTTCTCGGAACTTCATGTACTGTCGAGACTCTCCACACTACAACTCGCGATGCACTCGACGACACATGAGCACAGCTCCCGACTGTTCAGTCGTTCCCGGAGCTCAACACGCTCTCTTGAGGATGTACTAACCACGATGTACTACGAGACTCTTGGGTGTACTCGACGACCCAGTCGGCACTCGCTGCCCGGCTGTCAATTCGTACACTGAATGACTGCGGACCAGCAGGGTTTATATAGCTTTCGGCTTGTGTTCGAGAACATTCTGGGCTAAACCGGTAAGAATTCGTTCCAGAAGGTTCTCCAACCGTCCATGGTATATCGCCAATTTTGTCACCAAATGGGCAATTTCTCGCCAAATGTGGCAACCCTGCTTTTCCTTGCCATTTTATGGCAACCCTAAAACTGCTTTACGAAGAAGCTATCTTACTGCGCCTTGACATTTTGTAACAATATTGTCTGATAACAGACAATTTTTATACCTTCCCAGAATTGGCAGACATGCTTTTAACATTTCAAACAGACACTTATGGAACTGTAAAACTAAACCGAAAAGACTTGCCTCAAGAATTAATAAAAAAGAGAATCGCAAAAGGTGAAAATGTTGCTTTTCATCGAGGTAATGTTCTTGCCATGAAGTGGAAAGATAAGAAAGATGTTACCATACTATCTACAGTTCACACAAATGACATGGTAGATGTACAGTGTTATAACAAAGTTGTCAAAAAACCTATAATTGTCACAGATTACAATAAAAATATGGGTGTGGTAGATATTGTAGACCAGTATCTTCGAGATTACTCTATTGTTCGAACAAAAGGAAAGAAATATTATAAGAAAATATTTTTTTATTTGATAGACCAAACTATTTTGAACTCGTAACTTATTTACAAAAATAGGGCAGAAAAAAATCCCATTTGATGTTTCGTTTATCTTTAGTAGATGGATTTATTGAAATGTATCAGTTATCAGACACCATTTCAAAAAGAGGCCTGCCAAGCTTGGGGGATAATCTAAACCGTTTCATTGAAAGGCATTTTATTAGACAGATACTCCAACTGATAAGAAACAGCAACCATCAAGAGAATGCAAAGCTTGTTATTCCAGAAGCGATGAAACAATAAGAGATGTAGGAAGGAAACTCGGTACTTACTGTCCAGATTGTGACGTTGGCCTTTGCATTTCATGCTTTGAAATTTATCACACAAGAAAAAATTACTAAGCTTTGTTTATATTATGTGTAAGTTTAATAAAATTCTCTTTTAATGTTTAAAACACATATTTCTGAAATTTTCTTGGCTTTTCCTAAAAAATTATATTTAAAAAATTTCAAGGGGGAAAAAAATCCAGAAATTGAAAATGAATGCATATATTGTACATACATTTATTTCTGTGCAATTTTCTTCAATTAAAAATAGGCACTTTTATGACCATTTTCTTGAAAATTATCCGATCGCTAAGGGGTTAAAGAATTGGAAACGTAAGTGAAATAATAAAATACATCAGAGGTAAATTCAAATCAAAATTTCACCTTAAAACAAAGAGCACATAATCCAAATAATTTAAACGTAAGTGAAATTATTAAATTTTACCTAAAAGACTTAATTAAAAAATAAAATTTTGATTTGAATTTATCTCTGAAGTATTTTTTTATTTCAATTGTTTAAATAGAATTCTCTGTAGTTAAGGTACAAGATTCTAATTAGAATTTACTTTGTTTTTTCCTTGCTTGGGGGAGGGTCCAGAATTTTCGGGCGAACTATTATAATTAAAATACATTGAAATGGTTCATCGGCTAATTCTGGATACAGAAGCAAGGATTTTTGTGGAAGAGAGATTTCAATTGATCTCAATGTTCTTCCTCCTGACGAAGTGGCATTGAGGTTGATAGAATTCCTCTTCTGTTTTGTTCGTTTTTCTTTACATTTAACCGGTTTTTTGAATTTAGGTTTTGCTTGCTGTAGAGTTTTGATTTTAACATTTACTATTAAATTCTTTGTTGCATTTATAAGATTATTTGAAATTTATTATTTATGAATTTCAATTTTGGTCTTTCTGAAAAAGTACTTCTAAGTTTCTTACTTAATTTACTCATATTTTTCAGCAGCTGAATGTCCAAAAATGCTTGGCATGTTTTTTTAAAAATTTTTTTGTAATTATATATATATAGTCAAAAGTCGTTAATCCGGACTCGTCGGGACTTCGGCGATTCCGGATTATAGATCATCAGTTTTAAATCTCGTAAGATGGCATGCAGAAATTCTAAAATTAAAAATATGAAACCGTAATTTATGAAATAAAGAACAATTATGATCAAAAGGGTATCAAAATTTACAAAAAAAAAAAAAAAAAAAAAAAAAAAAAAAAGCTTAATATTTATTTGTTTACTTTATTAAACATTTCTCTCAATGTAAGTTGTTTAAGTTGCTTCATTTCATGTGATAATACTTTCTCTTTAATTCTATAAAAAGACATAATTTCTTGTTCAGTTACAAAGTTCCGCTGTTCAAGTCCCGTTAATTGCTGTGCCGAGAATACCGACTATCTTGTCAATCGAAATTTTTTCATTTTCACTAACCTCTCTGTCACATTCTTCATGTCTTTATCCATTTTTTGCAGCAATTCCACTTTTTGTTTGTGGGCCTCATACTTTCGTTTTGTAGATCCTTTAGAAGTTCCAGCATCGGAAATTCTATTTGACATAATTGAAAATTCAAGTTTACTTTTATAAAATTGCTCTTACAGTCTGCAAAAAATAATAAGCGGGATCCAATTCGAAGATTAAGGAACAATGCAATCATTAACATTAACTGAAATAGATAATTAGATAATCTTAGCTTACACCGTCCGTTATACGTTAAACGCGCAGGCGAAAACGTATTCTGCACTTGCGCACACGCATATGCGCAGTAGTCAAGGTCTTACGCACACGCGTAAAACGCCTGTGCGCATGTGCCGACGCGGCGCATGCGCAGAAAGTTTTTAGCTTAAGGTCCGGATTATGGGTGTCCGAATTAACGACTTTTGACTGTATATTGCAGCATATGTAAATATACATATATTTCAGCATTTATTATCTGTACATATTTTTATTGAATTTCCTTAGGTAACTTTTATTCATCAAGTGAGATGTCCACGGGAAATGCCTAAAATACAGGATATAGATTGGGTGGGATCAGACAGACCAGTTTTAGCTACAGTAGATGGATGTCTGAGAGTGACTGATATTATGATAAAGCTTAGTTCTTCTCCCATACATGACTACCAACCATCTGGTAATTAATTAGAATATAAAATTTATATTTATTGTTTTTCATAATATTTCTACCTATTTTAGAAATATTAGAGTTGAAATGTGTAATGGGTGTTGTCTTAGTCTTAGTGCAGAAAGTTTTAAATAAAATGGATTTTATGATAATAGTAATAGTACCAATATTTAGATTAAGTGGAAAAATATACTTATTCAGCAGCCTTATGTAATTAGAACTGTGTTTTGATATTTCTTCACTTGAAGCAAAAATATAAATACCAGCACTTTTTACACTAGTATAAATCTTCATATATCAATTTAAATCTTATTTTACAAACCATCATGTTTAACACCTTCAAATCAGCTGCAAGAAAGATGTATTATTGAAGATTACATTTAAAAAGTTTTACATTAAAAAAAGTAATACCTACAGTGATTTGTTCCTTAAAAATAGGGCGAAAATTGCTAATCTTTATTTGATAATTTAGTCAAAATAATAACTTATATAGAAAGTACAAAGTTCAGAAGTTATCAAACTGTGTGTCAATGTGCATCATTGTTGTGTTATACAGATGTAAAAAATTCTACGATATTATATTTTCTATTACTATGTGAATAGTTCTGTCATCTTGCTGTTTTTCTTTTCTTTTCTTTTTTTTTTTTTTTTTTTTTTCGTATAACAAACTAGTTAGACAGACCTCTGCTCCATTCATCTCTTCCTGTCCTCTTTTTTCCCCATTCTCCCCTTATAGCATGTTTGTCATTATTTTTGTTACATCTTAATTATTAATCAAAACTGACATGTAATGCAGTTCTACTGTATCTTATCTTTCATTGGCTGAGGATATCATCCTGGAAGCCAATCAGGAAAACTCAATCTGAAACAAACCAGCAACAGTTATATAATTACAGTTATACACCCAATTATTTAACAAAGAAATTTTAACTTTTTAATATACCTCCAACAGTGTGAAGGGAAACAAAAAGGCAAATCACAAATAACAATTCTAAGAACACTGGACATTTAAACAGTTGTTAATATGCTACTTATAAAAGAAGTTTCACAATAGGTTAAATCAGATCTGCTCGCAGGAAAATTTTTTCAAAGCATCAGCCTTTCAATCAATCTGCAGAAAATTATTGGACCAAAGGGATGTTAGCCCAGAAGGGCTATTTGTCTTGAAATGGCATTTTGCATCGATCGTCTATAAATGCCCATTTCACTTTTCAAATTGTTGCCACCAAATATCACCCTGTATTATATTTAAAAAATTAAATAATAAAGAATATGCATGAATGTATGTATGTTTCTTGTATTGTGAAAAATCAGTGATACCTAGATCCATCAAATTTTAAATAATAATCTTGCACCTGAATATGGGTGCCTGGAAGCCCAAATTTGGAATTCATTTTATTGTCTATTTCATATTTTGTAAAAGGTTATAAATTTTTGATTAACAAACCCAGCAGTATTAAAGCAAGTAATGGCAACATTGTGCAGGAAAAAACATTTTTATCTGTAGTGCACGAGACTGTCTATCGGAAATTCTAAAGATATGCTATTTTTAAAGATTTTTAGCTCCAAAGGACATTAGCCCAAGTGGTCTCGAAATGCGCATGTCTGTGTAAATGAAAATATTTTTTTTGGGGGGGGGGCTGCCTTTGAGCATAATATGAAATTTGAAAGCTTTGGGATATTTTTTTTTTTTTCCGTTTTTTCCTAATTCCTTGTCCACTGGTTATTTCCACAGTTAAAACTGCATATACATAAAGTATTGTATTTGATATCGCAGAATCCTTAGCTGTGAAATAACTTATCTAAGTACTAGGATTCCAAGGAAGTAAGCAATTTCCTAATTTCTGTGATGGGAAAAACTAAATAGAAGGTTGTTTCTGTTTTTGTTGTTGTTGTTATTATTATTTTGTCAAAGCTTCTTTGCCCCAAAACCTTTTATGCAAATTCTTTTTTTTTTAATGCTCAGAAATATGCTTTCTAATGGACAAACAAATTTTCATATCCTTTCTTTCAAATGAGTTAAGAAATTTGTCATAGAAAATTTTACTTTCCCTGAACACAGTTGCTACATAACAGAATCAAAACTAATAGTTTCAATCTATGTACACTGCAGAAAAAAAATGAGAGGACAGACAGTTCTATATCTCCTATTCTACTGGGCCAATTGATGAAATTCAACTTGCGTTTTTCATGTATCGAAAGCACGACTTAATATATGTATTAGATTTATACTTGTATACAGCTTTGTTCTAATATAGGTATTTTGACACAAAATCAGACTTTTTTCTGTAATGAATGCCAATTTTTTTCCATATTGTGATTCTACAACTCAAATTATGCCAAACTGCCAAGTTTTGTAAGAATCGCAGTAGTTTTTAAAAAATTAGATCTCAAAATTTTAGCTCCTCAATGTTAATTGAATTTGATATATATTTATTAATATTTCTTTTTTATTAAACTTACTTGATTTCTTCCAGAATTCGAAATTTAGCCTTAATCCAAATATAATTCTCACATCTTTTATAAGTTTAAGTATTTTTAATAAAGTTTTCGAAAAAATTTTAACGTTATAACCTGTAAAGTTTTTATCATGTTAAAGTAGATGTTTTTCTAGGCACACCTGCAAAAATTAGAATTTTTTATTCAAAGTTTTCTAAGATATACATGAATTTACATATTGACATGTTTTGAAGTTTAGCATCTTTTTTTTTTTAACGATAATAACACCACATGTGGTTTATGGATTTTGTTAAAATTATTTGAAAGTATGAAATGACCTTTCTTCCTCTTGTGTACAGTGAAAAAAAAAGGGGGGGAAATAATAAGTTGCTGTAAGTTAAGAAGTTTGCCAAGTAATATTCTTGGTGCAAACTGGGGGGGGGGAATGCACCGAGATAAATTTTCGAATTTCTCCGTAAATTTCACACCAAATTTAATATTTAGGAATAATTTGAGTTATAGAATCAAAATACGGAAAAAAATTGGCATGTCATTGTGATATTTTGTTATTACAATACAAATAACTATATTTATTATTGAAGTAGCAACGCCATATTTGTATCATGTAACCATTGCTCAGCAATGTTAGAAATTGTTTAAAATTGTTAATTCTGAAATTTTTACCTGTAGTTGTTGTATGAAAAATTTGTAACTAAAAGATTGTATTCAAATTATCTATCTCCATAAACTAAAATTTATGTTTTACTAAGAAGATCATCTGTTATTTTGTTAAATACTGTAAAATACATTACAGTATTATAAAATTGGAGGTTCCACCGAGATACTAAAATTAGGAGTGCAATTATCAATTTCGATGGTGCTGGTCTCCTAATCCCAGAAAATTGCTGAAATTTTTTAGAACAAGTTTGGTAGTACCAGTTGGAGTTTGTTTATTTTAAGGAGAAATGGATGTCAGAAGTCTGCCGTTTTAAAGCCAGATGTTGAAGCGAATCATTCAAATGTTATCTTCTGTGTTTCTATTTCTTGCGTCTCAGCAAAGAATTGTCAGAACAGGATATTGCTATTCTCCGAAGATAAGATTAACTTTTGCTTTTCTTAAAAAAGCTTTTTTTGAATTTTAATACTTTGTTTCAGAATTATAGTTATATCGTGTATTTGTTTAAAATAACTGACACTAAAAATATTCAGCTTAAATTTATAATTGATATTTGTGGTTAAAGAAGTATTTTAAAATTATTATTTATGCTTTACTGTTATTTGTATTGAATTTTTATGTTGATAACTGATATGTATAAACCATCCCAGCATTTATAAAAAAAAGAACTGCTAACTGTTTTTTTAATTTATTGCTAAGCAGGCACGTGAAAAATAAGTAGTAATGTCAAACTGACGTAGTATGATTTGATTATACTGCCAAATTGGCAAAAGTCTTTTCTTAGTTCTCGCAATCCAGGCATGTTGTAGATAGTAATGTCATCCCGACATATTACAACTAAATTGTATTGACAAACGGGCAAAAATTGTTTTTGTTATCACCAACCAGGCATGGAGATAGATCGTAAAATCATCAAACTGATGTGGGTAAAATCCCATTGTACTGCCTAACTGGCGAAGGTGTTTATATAGTTATTGCCAACGGGGCTTGTGAATAGTGAGTTAAAATGTCAACCCGGTGTAGTGTTATTTTATTTTGTGCCAAACTGGAAAATTGTTTAAAAAATTCTCTCCAGTTGGTTAAAGGGAATTTTGCATTTGACAAATTAAGTCTCGTTTAAATGATACATTTTTTAATATAAATACGATTTTTTAGATTCAATTTCAAAAGAAAGCCTATTAAAGGTAACTTGTTCAACATGTTATTCTTAGGTAGGAGTAGAAAACAGGATTTAAAGGTACTGGCAGAAGAGTTAGGTTTAGCCATGAGACCTGAATTTAAGATTGCTCAGTTGCATAAATTGATTACTGAAAGTCCCGGTTATGATGAGGAATTTACTCGAGAATTACTGGCTGCAATTAGAGATGAAAAAGAAAGAAAGGAAGAATGCTAAAGAGAAGAAAGAGAAAAGGAACGTGAAAGAGAAAGAAAAGAAAGGGGAAAAGAACGCGAAAGAGAAGAAAGAGAAAAAGAACGTGAATGAGAAGAAAGGGAAAGAGAACACAAAAGAGAAGAAAGGGGAAAAGAACATGAAAGAGAAGAAAGAGAAAAAAGAACATGAAAGAGAAAGAGAAGAAAGGGAAAAAGAATGTGAAAGACAAGAGCAAATTAGAACTTTTGAGCTACAGTTGGAAGCAATGGCTGCAACAGCACAACCGGTAGAAACTACGCAGTTATCTGAGCAGCCTTTAAAAATCAGAATGCACGATGTGATGTCACGTATCAACCCTAAAGAAGATGAAATAAGTTTATTTCTGGTGTTAGTTGAGCGTCAAGCTAAAATTATGAATATACCTGCTGAAAATCAAGTGACTCAACTTATTTCATTGCTGCCTCCTGATGTTGTTCAGCTTAATGCTAGAGAAGCAGAAGAGGACGCGAAAAAGTATGAATATGTGAAAGCTCTACTGTTACAGCAATTTAAGTTCAGTGCGAAAAAAATTTCGACAACTATTTAATAAACACCAAAAATCTACTGAAAGTACTTGGTATGATTTCTACTATGAATTAAAGAACTATTTAGAAGGATGGCTTAATGGATTAAACATTAAAACTTTTGAACAGCTTAAAGATCTCATGTTGGTTGATCAAATTAAAAAGCGTACTTCTCCTGATTTCAAAGAACATTTTATGGATGATTGGACTACCATCATTTCACCTACTGAGATGGTTAAGAAAATTGAAGATTTTGAAGCTGTGAGAAAAACAATAAAATCAAAATTTTCTGCCAATCAAACTGAGAGAATTAACAAAGGATCATTTGAACCTTGTTACAATAATTTTGTGAAAAAATTAGAGCATCCGCCTCATTTTAAGCATTCTGATAAATGGGATGATTCAAAATACCAGAAAGATCTCTGACAAAAAAGTCAGTTCCAAAACAAGAACCCAGAAAATTTACATGACAAAAGTTATCAACCATGTTTCGAGTGTGGGCCATACGAACATTTTAAGCCTCGATGCCCTTGCTTAAAACCAAATGAAAAGGTAAATTGCATATTTTTGAACGATGATTTATTGGAGACATATACAATTAACGATTAGTTAATGGATATGATATGCCTATTTTTTTAGACACAGGAGCCACAGTAGACATTATTTCTCAAAAATACATAGGAAATGGGGGGGGGAACATGGAGAACATGTCTGGTTACAATAGCTTTTAAATGACCATTTAGTATGTCTACCCTTAGCTGAAGTTGAAACTGATTGTGAACTTGGTTATATAAAAACAAAGGCAGCTGTTGTTACAAATGATCCGGGCAGATATATATTGGGTAACAAAACTACTCAGTTGTTCAAAGATAAACAATTCTTAAATTTAGAAAAGATAAATGTGGTTTTGACATGATCTGAAGTAAAACGATCTCGTGAAGAATATTGAAGTAGAGACACCAAAATGGAGAAACCCAAAGAACTGTCTGTTATTGAGACTGATGAAGATATTTTACTGTGAGCTGATGAGGAAGACAAAGAAATTAAGAAAGTAATTAATGTTAATTCTAAGGAATTAGTTGAATCTCACCATAAAGGCAGAGCTCTAGCCTCATTGCTTAGCGAAGCTAAAAGTGAAAATTTCAGCAAGACAAATGATTTCAAAGTAAAAGAAAACAGGTTGCTGGTGAAAAGGAAAATAGATAAAAATGGAAATGAAAGAGAATAAATTGTTATTCCTGAAAAATATAGGAATCAAATGCAGAACTATACATCTTTGATACAGAATCAAACAAATAATAGTGGTAAAGCTCAAGGTAATTTGGTCAATATTCACACTCCTAAAAGTCAATCTTCTGTCTGTGCTTCACAGAAATCTGATAAACAATCTGTTTATCTCCTGATGAGAAAACTGAAGTTATTGATATGGAAGTTGACTCACCTTATTTACCTAGTGATTCATCTTCTATGGATAGTGTATATGATTATTTCCCTACCAGTTCCCCACTTCTCCAAAAGGCAAAGATGTGTTCGACAGTTTGTTAACAGTAGATCAAAGAACTTCTGATAAAAGAACTCATGAAGGTGCTTCTAAAGCTTAGAAATTAAAAATACGTTCAGAATCTAAGCATGCGTCAGAAAACTTAGCAAAGAGGCATAAACGTGATAAAGGATACTCAAAGTTGCCATATTCAGTGAGAATGCAAAACAGGTAAGAACAAAAGTTCATCTCACAATGAGCAAAAACTATCTGAAAAGAAAGAACTGACAAATTTAGCTGATCCTCAGTTCAAAATTTTAGATGAATTGCCAAGTTCTGCAGTTGAGATGCAAGTCAAGGAGAAATTTTTAAAGTAACTAAACAGACAAGAGCGAGTTGTTGAAGAAGCAAAACTGCCACAAAAGCCTCTATTACACTCACTTGATTTCAATAAGGAGTTTATTTTGCAAATTGATGTTTCAGACTCTGGTATGGGTGTCATTTTAGCTCAGAAAGATGAATGACGCAATGAACATCCAGCATTATACCTCAGTAAGAAGTTTACAGAAACTGAAAAAAAGTTCTCTACCACAGAAAAGGAAAGTGCCATCATAATTTTTCTGTAAAGAAACTGCAATGTTATTTAGATGGGCATACTAAACTCCTCATCATGACCGATCATAATCCAGTAGTTTGGCTCAAAAATAATGTCTAAAGCCACGACTTATGAGATGGACACTAGTATTACAACCCTACAATTACATTGTAGTTCATCAAAGTTTTAAAAACCATAAAAATGTAGATGCATTAAGTTGCACTCCCTGGCCTGATTAAATAATTTGTTTCTCTATATAGATAAAAAAATTATTATTTTGTTCTTTCCTCTCTTCCTCAGTGTATGTTATTTGTTGCATTTCAACTCTGTATTGTGTTGATATTGTGTTTTGAGAAAAAACTGTATACTTTAATTTATAAAAATATAAGTTTATCTGGAGGGAAAAGAGGTTGTAATATTTTGTTGTTTAACAAATAACTGTATTTATTATTGGAGTGGCAATGCCATATTTGTATCATGTAACCGTTGCTCAGCAATGTAAGAAATTGTTTAAAATTGTTAATTCTGAAATTTTTACCAGTAGTAGTTGTATGAAAAATTTGTAACTAAAAGATTGTATTCAAATTATCTGTCTCGGTAAACTAAAAATAAAATTTATGTTTTACTAAGAAGATCATCTGTTATTTTGTTAAATACTGCAAAATATGTTACATCATTTCAGAAAAAGTCCGACTTTTTGTCAAAATACCTATATTAGAATAATGCTATATATATATAGTTAATGTACATCCTAAGTCGTGCTTTCAAGACATGAAAAATGCAATTTGAATTTTCATCAATCTGCCCAGTAGAAAGGGAGATATTGAACTGTCCTTTCCCCCCCCCCACACTGTTCATGAACAGTGAATAAAATTTGAAGGAATTTGTAATAAATGTAATTTTGTGATTTCTTTCTTAAATTTGCATTTTTTTATCTGATACGTTAAATGTAAAAATTTTTTGGCTTTAATTCGTTGATGTTATATTAATATTTTCAGATTTCCCTTTTGCTCCCAGTGTTTTATCACCTAAAGTATCATTTTATATGAAAAGTTTTTTACATCATATACTTTGGAAGCAGAAATTTAATACAGACATTGATCAGCAAGATGACTCAGATATGATTTGGGCTGAGGAGCAACTGGAGTCTTTAGATGATGAATTGCGTCAGTTTCTGAAATTTTGTCCATTTGGTACAGCAGAGCGTTCTCTTCATGTATCTAGGTTATCAGCATTTTGAGTTGCTTTATTGCCTTTTATTAAATATTGTCGTTATAATTTAATTAAATATTGTATATCTGTCTTTTATTAAATTGAGAAATTAATTAACGAATCATAATTTATTATTTATAATGCAGTAAAATTTATGTATGCTAATTTAAACCATAATAATATTTAGAATATTTGGTGATCAAGAAGGCTGTGTTTTTTGGACTGTATCACTTCATTTTCTGAAGCAAGCAAAATTTCAATTATTAGAAGTAGGTATTTTTTTCAGTTTTATTCCCCCCCCCCCCATTATGTTTTTTTTTTTTTTTTTTTTTTTCCCTTTTTTTTTTTTTTTTTTTTTTTTTTTTTTTTTTTTTTTTTTTTTTCCCCCCCCCCCTCCCAATAAAGGGAAAACGTGTTTCATTCTTTTACAGTCAACAGCCAAGTCTGATGATCACTTAAATAAGCAGAACATAAAACAAAGAAATCCTGAATTATTTTTTGATCAACCTTTAGACACAGGATTTGATTCCTTTTGCGATAATGATGTTTACAAGGTAATGTTGATTTTAATATAACAGAATAATAAATTTTAAAATCATATGCTTTGTTTTTTTTAATATTTTTTCATGCAACATACTGTAGCACTGAATAAACATAGTATTTACATCATGCTGTTTTTTAGAAGCTGCAGTTGGATCGAGTAAGACTGCATTTAAGCAAACGAACAACCTACAGTCAAACTCAGCAGTGTGCAGAACGTCTTCTTCTGCTTGGGCAAACTGATCAAGCAGTTCAGCTGCTACTTGAAACTGAATCTGAAAATGATAATTTTTATGTAGATAGTCTCAGGTTAGTTTTTCTTGGCAACCAAATAAGTTTATAGTAGAAATTATCGCATTTTAAAATTAATTTGTGAATGTGAAACTTATCATTGGCTGCTTGAATTTATATCTTTAAAACTTCCAAATCAGAGATGTTGTTCCTTTCTTTTGAGAATTAAATGAAATATTTATGCCTTTCATTATATATATATGTATGTGTATTGTTGTGAAGTCTATAGAAAGAGTTCATTTCATTTTTATGCTTTTTGATCTGAAGGCTTTAGCTTTTACAAAAAGGCAGTAAAATAATTCATGAAAATAGGATAGCAAAATATTTTTTTTTTTTTTTAAATTCAGTAGAACTCTAAATAGCAGACTAACTAGAGTGACCACTGTTAATAATCTTTTGTTAGATTTAGTAATTTTTATAAATTTTTAGTGTTTTAGTATTTTTACCATCAGATCTAGTACTTTCTTCTCAATAACAACAGTAAAAATAACATGATATTATGAAATATATGAATTAATACCTCACCTTGAGTACTTTAAAAGATTGTTTTTGACAAGCCGTATCTGTTTCAACTGCACTACCAAATCCTTTAATTAAAACATATTTTCTTTTCTTAGCATTTACCCTTATCAAAAGTAATAAATCTAAATTTAGATCATTATTTTTGGTTAAATATCAATTTTCAACTTCTAATTTCATCTGAAGGATATAAAATAAAAATGATCATAAAATGTTTTATGAAATCTTAATGTGTTAAAAGTAACTCCATGTAAAAAAATATGTATACAGCCAACAATGTTAATTTTTTAGCCCCCCCACCAAAAAAATGTATAGCAAAGGCAAGAGGGGAAATTCTTCTGAGATGAGTTTAATTGAGAATGCAGTGTCAGAAAGAAACAACGAGACCTTTGGTATGAAACAGTTGTCCATCTGTAACAAATAAATTTCATAGATGCTGTGTTAAAAAGTTCAACAAAATTCTGAAATTAACAAATCAGACTGCTTTCACATTATAATGCTACATGCTTTGAATTTACTGAATCTGAATGAAGAAAATAATGAAAAAGGCCTTGACAGAGAACAGATCTGTCAAAGACTGCAGAAGCACTGAAAAAGTGTCAAGAATTTATGATGCTTTAGAATGAAGTTTTAGAAATTAAATACATTGTAGGAGAGCAAATGTTTCCTGATGTAACAATACTAATTAAAACTGTTTTCTGTCTCCTTCATTCGTCATTAGGAGCCGAAAGAATATTTTCAACTGTGATAGGGGATAAGGGTAAAATAAGAAATTATTACATACTCCTTTGAAGAATGATTCCTTTTGACAAAGGAAAAATTAAAAATTTGTCAGCAACAAATTTTATCATTTCTTAAAAATGAATTAATTTAACAAATGTGCTGAAAGTAATGATAAATGTATTTCCATTAATTTTCTTGCTTGCAAGAATATGTGTAATTAGTCTATACGTAAATAAAAAAATTAGTTATTTTCTGTTAACAGGGTGCCACTTAGCACCAGACATAAATACTGGCATGAAATCTAACTAGATGGCATCAACTCTAATGATAGATAAAGCTTCATGAAAAGAATAACTATTTTATATATAACATATTTAATGTTACCAAAACCAAGACTGTGTGTGATGCCAAATTTATATTTTCTAATATATTTTTAAGGGAATGCAGATTGTTGGTATCGCAAGGTTTAAACAAAACTTGTTTCTTAGCATTACATCTTATGTTTAAAAAAAACATTGGAAAATTGTTTAAATTTGGCAAAGACATCTGCTGATGGAGGGGGGGACACCTGATGTCTAACATAGGTAAACAGGTATATGCCATTCAGCACAAAAATATCTGAAAATCTAGGATAGAAAATTGCTGGATTGATATTCATTCTTCTTGCTTGTTACAATTGTAGCATTGCACAATTGTTACTAATGCAAAGTAAACAAGCAAACATATTTTATGCTTTGACATATATTTAATGATTGGTGCCACATTAACAGCAAAGCACTCAAAAATTAACTAACAAAAATTGTTAGCTCCTTAGTGTGGTGAGTTTTAATATTTTTTTTTTCATATTTGTCAAACATATGTAAATTTAGAGATGCTATGTTGAATTCATCTATGATAGTAAGGTGCAATATTGTAAAATGTCCCGAGAAGAGGTAAACAAAAGCAAATATAAATTTAATACCTTTTCTCAGATCTACTACCTCTTTCTTGCATAAATTAGTAAAAAATACTTTTCATGGGTAATCATTTTAAGACTGACTGAAACTGCAACCCCCTCAGATATTTGAAAAATCTAAATTATTGGGTTGCCTTTTTTCTGTAAGCCAAATTATTAGACATACAGTCAAAAGTTGTTAATCCGGACTCGTCAGGACTTCGACGATTCCGGATTATCGATTTTTCCGGATTATAGATCATCAGTTTAAATCTCGTAAGATGGCATGCAGAAATTCTAAAATTAAAAATATGAAACCGTAATTTATGAAATAAAGAACAATTATGATCTAAAGGGTATCAAAATTTGCAAAAAGAAAAAGCTTAATATTTATTTGTTTACTTTATTAAACATTTCTTTCAATGTAAGTTGTTTAAGTTTTCTACGTTTCATGTGATAATACTTTCCCTTTAATTCTATTAAACAGACATAATTTCTTGTTCAGTTACAAAGTTCCGCTGTTCAAAGTCCTATAATTGCTGTGTCAAGAACACCGACTAATTTGTCAATCGAAATTTTTTCGTTTTCAATAACTCTGTCACTTCTTCGCTATCGGAAAGCGAATTATAATGACGAGGAACTTGTTTTAAATCATATCAAAGACGGAGCATATCAAGATGAAATACTACATTTGGTAAGGAATTATAAAGCCAAATAAAATAAAAACATCTGCGCTGAAGATTAAGGATAGTGCTGACAGATCAACTTCCAATTCATTACCACCGCGACGTTCCCCCCCGCGAGCAGTGTGAAATTGATAAAAGATTTCGGATGTAAAAAACATACTTTCGCTTTAGATCCTTTACATATTAACAAATATATATTGGAATTCTATTTGATATAATCGAAAGTTTAAGCTTACTTTTATAAAATTGTTTTACAGTCTGCAAAAAATAATAAGCCGGATCCAATTCGAAAATTAAGGAACAACGCAATCATCAACATTAACTGAAATAGATAATTAGATAATTTTAGCTTATACGTCCATTATACATAAAACGCGCACGCGAAAACGTATTCTGCACTTGCGCATACTCATATGCGCAGTCGTAAAAGGTCTTACGCGCACGCGTAAAACGCCTATGCGCATGTGACAACGCGGCGCATGCGCAGAAAGTTTTTAGTTTTGAGGTCCGGATTATAGATCATTCCAAATTATGGGTGTCCGAATTAACGACTTTTGACTGTATATTGTATCATTAGTGAGAAGAATATACATATATATATATATTTCATTTATCACATTTTATTTCAACAGAGATCGTATAGTTAAAATAAAAAGTAAAAAGTATTGCATAGTAAAAAGTTTAATTCTGTAAAAAGTAATATAAAATATACTTATTTTAATGTAATATGAAACATATTCCAAAGCATATTTATTTTAATATAATACAAAACATATTTAGAAGGTGAAATTAATTAATTTTTTTTTGCTTTATGCACACAACCTATTTCTGTTTCAACTAACAATGGGGGTGCTTGACTATTGTCTCACTGATTTCACACAAATTTTGCATAACTATCAAGAGTTGTAAAATAAAATGTTTTCTGTAAAGAGACAGCACACTTTTTTAAATAATAAGTGAGAAAATTTTACTCTCAGTGGCATTTTTTATCCACAAGAAACACCTCTTGATTTGTTTATTATTGTAGCGAGTGATATTTTGCTTTGGATCGAGACATTCAAGTTGCTTCCCCACAATCAAATGATGTTTCAGTAGTATTTGTAGTAAGAAAAAAATTTATGATTTTAATTATTTTAACCTTTTTTAGTTATCATAAACCTACAATGTGACTGTCCTCTCAAACTTCACTGCTTGAAATTTGGGATAAATTAATGACTTATATGTACTGCTTTTTTGGTGAGAATAATAAAGATATAATTATGAACAGCAATTGTAGTATTTAAATTATGTTCTCAGTAATGAACAATGCAAACCTTGTAATCTCACACAGAACTGCTAACTTGCAACCCTCCAGTTTAATACCACTGCCACCAGTGTCTTTTTTTTCAATGGGTTTTTAATTATACTTTTAATGCTATTTTATTTTTGGAAAAAAAATTATTCAATATTTATAAAGGTACAATATAAAAGAGAATATGATACTAAAATTTTTAATAAAAAGCAATGTTGTACTGTCATTGGGTATGTTGAATTAATGTTTTCTCACAATTTAAACTTCTATTCATAATATGCACTTTTATCAATGTTATTAGAACTTTTAATGCTGTTATATTTTGAAAGAAAATTTGTTCATGGAAGTATTTTAAAAGATTGATATAAAAATAATATATACTACAAAAAATTCATATAGAAAGGTATTTTTTAATTATTTTCTTTAAATTTTATTGTATTTCTTGTAACTATTACATAACATTCAAAATATACTATATTGACATTGAGTACACTGAAAAAAATTATGATTTGTTGCATTTAAATTCTCTCTCAAATAATTCTTCATAAAAATTTCAAGGTAAAAAAGCATATTTCCATCAACTTTCATAAGTAACTCTTTATAAAACTTGATAAGCTGTTGATTGTTTATTATATCTGATACCTGTACTTTATATTTGAATACATTTTTTTGAAAGATCAATGGTATATAAATTTATTCAAAAGTGTTAAAAATTGCTTTTATACAAAATTTATTTTTTTAAATATTTTTTATTAATAATTGTTTTCTTTATGTGAAATAAAATTATTATTATTAAAAAATAAGTATTAAAAAAATTGGGGGAAAATGCACCAAGTGGTGATGGAATTCCATTGTAAGAATTTTA